ATCCGTCGTTCTTGGAAGCTTTTCAAACCGGCGAATTATCGAAGGGCGTCGCTTTACGAAGAGTCTACGAAAGTTTACCAGCTGTGAATAAAGCTGTCATCGACTTTTTGCTAGCTCATTTGATACGTGTAAACAAACACGAAACACAAAATAAGATGTCCTTGCACAATTTAGCGACGGTGTTCGGTCCGACGCTTCTACGACCTGGCACGAATTCGCGATCCGATGCGAAGAATCGCGACCCGTTGGCAGCGGGCACCGTAGACGTGATGGCGCAGGCCGGTATACTTTACTGTTTCTTGCAGATGCATATGCAACAGAACAATCAGTCACTCTAGTCGAGAGGTTCTCGTTGATACATCGTGGCGTCAGTTGCTAAAGGGGAGTTTCCCGCGACGAGACAGGAACTCGCGGCAACTAACGCTGAAGAATGTAAAATTGATGATTTTTTTTTTATAATATATTTCGTTAGTTTTATGGCGTATCGTTTATACAACCAGAGATGGACAGAAATTTATTCGTAACGTTTATTTTTTATCGGATAGTTATTCGAATAAATTTTTGTTCGTTCGACGTGAAACGTAAATTATTTATATTCAGATTTTAATTTTTATTAAATAAATAACAAGAAGTTGTCATCTGGATAAAAATCTTGTCCATCTCTGTATACATCGCTGAATTAGACGCATTAAGTAGTAGACAAGCTTCGACGAAAACTCAGATCGATGAAATTCCTCTTTTGCATTGATACGAATACGAGTAACGTAGCAAAGTGGATTTTGGAGAGTAACCGTATCGTTCCTTCTCCAAAGTCCGTAATATATTTTATACTTATATTCTTGCAAAGTCCTAGCCACGATCTTGTGCGCATGTTCAGAGACATTTTGAACGAAATTTCTCCTATGAGAGAGACATACAAAAAAGCAGTCCGATTCGCTATGTATCCACGCTTTAGAAAATAAGTATTTTTTCCAATGGGGCGTGTTCCTAGCAGAGAGCCTAAATTTTTCTACACAACAACGTGACATACCTTTTACTATGTCCATGAAAATGTCCACGTATTCGAAAGAATAACGTTCCTAAGTATTCCTACAGAAGATTTCAGAAAGCGCGTTCCTTCAAATGTGCGATTTGAAGCTTAATAATAACACGAAATATACAGACTGCATTGTTTCTTTAAGGAAGTCGCGTTTCTCGCCACCTGTGAGTTATTATTATTCTTTTACAAAACTATTTTGAAATAAATGTACACTCTGGAATTTTTCTAAAGGATATTACGAAGCAGTACGATCAGGTTTTTGATACTTAAGCTGTAATTAGACTCGTATTCGCTTTTCATGCTCACTGCCTGGCCGGTAATTTTTTTTTAGTTGACGATAACTTCTCGAAATGGTTTTTAGGAACGTGTCCAAATATTTAAGATTTTAAATAATTTTAAAATGTATGTATGATAAATTATATAGCAATCGAATCTTACTAACCTTTGCTAGCACACGGTTGAAAATATTTTATATATGCGACTTTAAAATGTATTTTATTCTACAGGTACAGTTGTTCGCCAAGTATGTTAAAGTCTAAATACAGCTTAATAGAGCACCAAAGAGAAAAGATTCTCTCTCATACCTTTAATAGAGAACCATAATCGACCCTTTGAAGCATTGCAATTTTTACACTTTATTATCTACTAACATCGTCAGAAAAATTGTTCTCTGTGAAACTTGCATTCGTATTTTTCAAAATATAACAGAACACTGATTACCATCAAGGTTAATAAAATTCTTTCTAAGTGCAAACAGTATTAGCATGAAAGGTTTGCGGCAGACGTTCCACTGTATATGCTTCGAAGGGTCGAACAAAAGAAAAGCACATTTGGCAGTACAAATTTAATACTCGATAGAATCCCCCGCATTACATGCTAGGACGTTTGTGAGCTATTTTATAATCAAGGTCGAAAACAAAAAGAAAACCAAGTCTGAGGAGTGTTTGATAAACGAAATAGTGTATAAGTATTAAATGACGAGACAAAAAGATGAGATGAAAAAAATTACACGGAGATACGTTTTCCGGGAGCGACCTTTGTATGTGAACGAAGGCAACTGTCGTATGCGTGGTTTCAGCGTGTGTGCGTATGTATGTGTAACCCGCCCATGTGTATTATATCGTAAATATTGGATATCTTTAATTTTTATATCGCATTTAGCATAAGATGCGTCCCTCTTTTGTACATTCATGAAACGTGTAAAGACAAAGTTTCCATTATTATTATTATTACGAATTATTAATTATTATTGATATTATAATAATTATTATTATTTTTATTACTCCGCATTTTACCACGATCATCGCAAACGAAGTATTTGTTACGAAACTCGATCGAGCTAGCTTACCCGCAGCAAGACGATGTACTGCCAAAAAAAAAAAAAAAAAAAAACAAACAAACCCATGGAACATATAAATATACCGAAGGTTTATAAACTTTTATATCGAGCATGTTTGTCGTTACCCCAGGGTACGTTTTTTTTTTTTCTTCGTTTCTGTTTCTTTTTCCGTATGTAGAAAGTTAATTTTAAGTCGGAGCACGTTGTATTGTAACCAGAGTTGTTGTTTTATTTTAGAGAGCCGTGTTCTTCCGAGATGGTCTTGGAAGAGTAATAAAGAGAAGATAGATTGAAATTGTGTTTCAGTAACTAAGTATTTTATTTATGACACTAGAAGCAGGTGATTTTTAATTTCGTAAGTATTAGTAAACGTGAATCTAGTGGATTACATTTTAGTACATTTCGTTTGCGAAACAACGTTGTATGACAGAAAAGAAGATATTTAAATGGAATTTATTATTTCTTGCCGCAGCGATGTATCGGGACAACTTCGAGCCGGTGGAGGTAGAGGCAGCTTAACTGGGGTAGCAGCTATGTTGTCCCAGAGTCCCGGAAGTCGAGACCCGTCCGAGCCATTACATTGCATCCCTGATTAAATAGATAGTTTATAACTTATTACGTGAAAGTAACCTGTAATTACGCTACTTTTAAAAACCAAAGTGAAACGTAAATGTTTAAGATAACAATCGGTTACAAGAATCGAGAACCTAACGGGGCAGCTTCGTATATATCGTAAAGAGCTTGTACGCGAACTTTGGTCCACTCGATGCTTCTGTAATTCGACGAAATTCCCTTGTCGATACCGATCGGTTGGCTTTCCCATTCTCTCATGTACCGAAAGTACGTTCTCAACGCATCGTCGCTTATAGCGCTTTTGCAAACCTGCGAAACGTTATCCCCAATTGTAATTTATTCTGTAACTTAGATTCTCGCTATATGAATTATGTTATATTTCATGTACCTCTAATCGAGCATTGGGGTAATAATGTATATAATTCACGCACATTTCATCGGAAATGGCGAACCCACCGAGGGTGATGTTTTTCCTATCCATCGTATTGTACGTGCAAGTTGTTATCAAAGAGTCGCCCTGTAATTAATTTGTACAAACATTCGCCATGCATCGTAAGCTACTCGTATAAAGTATTAAATAATTTTTTACAGGCAGAACGGTGACGTGTTTCGGTAGCAGTCTGATTTCTTGGAAGTGAGTGGAGTAATGATTATCATAGTTCATCATAGGCAACTCTTCCCCATCTCTAACGTGACGAGTGATCACTTTTACGCCCGTCAGGTGCGTGTGAAGTTGAGACGCGAAGACATGGATGCCATTTTGCGGGAGACCAACTCCTGTGCACTCCTGGATACAGTGTCCCGATAAGGTGAAGGCTTCCTGCGACAGTAAAAACAGTACTGCTGAGCTAACTACTAGAAAAAGGATTCCAAAGGAACGGTTTGTGTTACTTGTTGCGGTGGTATTGCCATCTTGTCTGTATATTCTAATCCCAACTCGATTACACCAGCGTCGTATTTCCGTAGACTCTTCGTCAGGATGAAACGAATCCCTGAGGAATCAATGTTTCCATCCTGCAACTCGGGATTATTGTAATGGACCTCTAACATGACGTATGGGTTGAAATCGTGACCCCCGATCGAGAGGCCTGCTTCCTCTGGATAAACGAACGCATCCGCTCCCATTGCCCACGCTGCTAAGACCTTCTTACAAATCTGGAAACATCTCGAACATGAACAGGTGAAGCCAAGGAACAACGTTACTTAACGACTCCCTTAACGTGCCTATAAAGTCTAACGCACTTGAGTTTTCTCAGGTCTGTCAGCTCCATCGCAGGGACCATCGTACATAGGAATTTCGAGATCCACCGGCCCAGCACAGTGAAAGATTTCCATGTGATGAACCAGATGTTCGTTGCCTTCTTGAATGACTGGGCCAAACTGAAGAATATGATGTCTGCGGGTGAATTACATTAGACGATGAATTAATTTGAATTTGTTAATTATAACGGACAGCGTTGCAGGAGTATCGACTCACTTCTGAGACAAAACTGGCGGCAATTTCTGCACGCGACACCAATAAGTTGTTTCCTTGTTCGGTACCTTCACTCGCCGTGCCAGCAACTCCAATCGCCAAGCATTCGAAGGAAACGTCGGCTTCTTGTGGAGCACCCTGATTAGCTCTGTTCGCGACATACCGGAAGCTTCCGCATCCGAGATTTGCAGACCAGCCAAAGACGACAATGGACCAAGACCTCTCAGCCATACCAAGTGCGTGGTCCCCCTCTGAGTAATTTCACGTATTTTTAAATTCTTTAGAGATAACCAAGTACTTCGGTAATTCTATTCACCTCCATAACGTAATCATTTCCATCGCATGTGTCGAATTTTCTAGAAAAGGTAAACTTCGTTACGTTTCCCCTTCGTCTCCACGCAAAGTTTTCACAGTCCTGTTGAGAGTCCAGGTTTAGTTTTCCTTCTTCATCTGCCCATGCATCCTACGATTGAGAAAATATGCGTAAGAATATCATGCGAGAGTAAAACGTGCACTGCGAGTGTACCCCTGAACGAACGAGACCCGCCTTGACTTCAAGAGCAAACTCTTCTTCAGGAGGAACCGTTGTAAATACCTGTAATTGAGTTTGACGATGCCAATCGATCCACAGGATACAATAATCGGCGGGTTTCAATTCTCCATAGTTTGAAAAACCAATGGCGAACCAGGTATTGACGACACCTATGTAGTGGACTTCCGCCACTATCAGTTCGCTCATAAAATCAACTCTAAAATTCATTTATTTTTATTTATTTTCTCTTTTACAGAATATACGAGATGCTACCAAACGATGAAGAACAAAATCCTGATACGTTAACACGTTCAAGGATATACCTCCAATGGAACGTGGCTTCCGAACCAAGTGGAATCGTGTGTACGCTGGTTTTATCCGAATAGTCTTGTTTGCTTTGCTGATGATTATGCCAAGATAGACACGAGCCGGTATTAAAAATTGAAAGTAAGATCAGCTGAAAGATTATCGAAAACATTTTCAATTTATGACATAAAGCGTAACGTTCTTCCGTTAAAAATATTTTGTGCTTTTATTTTGTAGTTCGCCGCGACGCGTATGATTTATTCGATGGAATTGTTGGTGTTCCGATATCGCGTTTATGCAACAGGCATCTCTATGGTGTTTCACTCTCTCGTCGTTGACATCTACTGACAGGATCAGGACGATTAAGATGGGCAAAGAATTCATACGACGCCGGCTTGCCGCCGATTCGTTGCGGTGCGCATGAGTGAAACTAAGCTAGGAGTCTCGCAAACATGCGCGATGGGTAGTGCCGGATTCAGATTTCGTAGATCCTTAGAAATAAGGATGTAAGAAATAAATTGCAAGTTCTTCAGCTGACACAGAGTCCTAGACTATGGCCCTTGACGACCATACTTTAATTCGACCCTGATTAAAGTACATACGCTTCGAAATGGTTGCTCATGCGTCACAAAAGCAGTTATCTATTTCCGAATCCAACGCATCTAAATTACCAATTCGTTTCGAATTCACTCTCCCCCTTAACGTCGTTGTCTTCGTTTACTGAAAAGTAGATTACAGAGGTTATCAGCAGCCAATAAGTAAGAGATCGTTTCGATTAAGATGATAAAATTCGCAGCATTATCGAGGCCATTTATCAATTTTCCGATCGTTTGCTATCGAAATGCTCAAAGCTAAGATTCCTAGGAAAATTTACTTGGTTGGAACACGTGAAGTTTAATTATACGGATAATGTCGCCTCCCAATGAACAGATATCTCGTATATTACATATATAAATAAATAATACTAATATGCTTCTATATAACTAAGAATTTGACCCATCTTCGATCGTACACGAATAAAGAAAAAAAATTGTCGGAGCTTCGAGAAAATGTCTTGATAATCGAATTCCAGAGGGAGCATATTGCATTCCATTTGCGACGCGTGCCTCGGCGTTCCGACCACAATCAAGAAATTCCTTCGGCTCTTATTGCGAGCACAATTTTCGCGTATGGCTTTATTTAACGGCAGCGAATTACATAACTCGAGCGACACCAACTTCGAAATTTCGAAATGAACAACAATGCGTATTGTGCTCGCGAGGATTTCTATTCTTATTTTCTTTTTTATATTTAGGCAGCTATCGGGGTTCGCGAAGTATTCGTCTCCTTACTCGCCGTCGATTGCTTCGAATACAGATAAGCGCGAGAAGAGACACCTGGCAAGGATCGATACTGATTTAGAAAATAAGAGGAAGACAGAGCTATGTCACTCGATATATTGGTAATTGATATTTATTCTCTATGGATGATAAATCTGGCGCCATGGTTCAGCCGACATAATCTATCACGATGTTATCCGAACGTTGCGACTTATTTAATTTATTAATAGTAAGATAATAATCGTTTGATATTAAGCACTTCGTGACCACATGTACAAAGAAGAACATAATGCAGAATGATTTTACAACTATCTGAATTGCGGCTGCATTTCATTTACAGAAACAAAGAACCAGACGAGTGGGGTCAAAGGAAATGGTAAATCATTGTGCGCCGGTCCTTTCTAAAAAAAAAAAAAGAACAATTTGGGCAAGCTTCGTCCTTTAGGATCAATGAATGCATCGATCCCTTTCGTGACCAGGGACGGTCGTGTGATATACAATGGTCCAGTTACTCTCACGGACTCGCAACCTACCTACGTCGCCCAGGTAAAAGATCTTGTCTGAGACCTTGACTTCCGGTTAGTCGCCGCGACCGTACAGACTGTATTTAAACGGCAGGTGCACTGTCTGTGAAGTCCACGATGAAACGCGTTTTGTATTTGTCAGATGTGCAATTTACACAGATCGACTGACTTTCAAAATATTAAACGTCTTACTCATCTACAAAATTATCTAAGGAAGCGACCCTCTAATTGTTTGAAACGCTATAGCATATATTTGTGGTTTGAATTACTGCTCGCTGGACTTTGATTATGCAATATTACGAAAGGACAGTCACGAAGTGTGAAATACATGTATATCGTCTTGCAAATCATTCAATTAACATTTCAACGAAGTATGTAGGTACATTCCGCTGTAAATGTTTACATAGCTTTTACGATCGGATCAAATATTATGATAAGCGTAGCCTGAGCACACGTACTTTATTTGATATAAACGATTCAAAGAACGCACGAATGTTACAAAAAAAAAAAGTTCTTCGAGTACATTTCAATGTTTTACTTTTTACTTTTTACTTTTTAAACTTCTTAACGGCTGGATTTTTGAACTTTTACGATTATCTATGCGACCATGAGACGCGTAACATTGCAAATTAAAATATAAAATTAAGCAGACCATGCTTATACAGATTAGATTTGTTACGCACTTGTACTTCGTAATTAGAAATTGATATCAGACTCGTGTACACGACGTGAGCTTCCTTGTTATCAGAAGCCACCGAGAACCAGACGTAGCCCCACGAAAAAAAAAAGAAACTTCTGGAGGCTAATGAAGTTGGATTGAACTTAATTGAAAATTTTAATCGCTTCATGAACGGCTCGCTCGGAGCGTCTAGGCTCTCGTATTACGCAATTGCATCGTTAAATTGATAGCCAGCAATTTTCACAGGCGCCATCGCGTGAACCGGTATAAAGGCAGTGATTCGGTGAAAATTCCGTATCTTATCTCCTTATCAAATTTCGCAAGGCAGTGTATTTTTTTGAATACGAAGACAGAATTCTACCGAGCTACTAAAATTTTCAATTTCTTCCAATTAGAACTGATTAACTGGAAACGATGACGACAGTCTTTCTAAAGAACTGCATGCCATAACGATACAACGCTAATTATTGGTCGTTTCGTAGATGGCGAGGTCCAGAAGATTCGGAAGAAAGCTGTAGGGGAAGTGAAACCAGATTCGTAGAAAAGGGTATGCCGGTGACTATGTTTACATGGCTTTTGGATGTAGTACTGTTGATGGTATAACCAGGGCTGCGTCAAGATTTTACAAGACCATTGGATGAACAGCTACGAAGAGTGAAACCAATGATTCTTAGAAGCTGATGAATTATTCGCATGTACAATAGGGTGGTCCTTAGCTGTATATAGTTAGAATCAAACATACTACTATTCGTTCAACGTAAAACATTATTTAGTCGACTAACGCGTCTAAAGCTGTTTATCTTCTACTTATCACGCATGATTTTCTGCCTAGATGAGAATCGTAACCACCCCTTGTTCGAACGCTGGCGCGTACATAAAAGAAACTGTAGGCGGGGCCCTGAAAAGAGGCGGCCCGTCAGTGGCGACGATACAATAAAGGACGTCGACGCCGGCTGACGAGTGGAAGGTGGAAAGGGAACGGTGCAACCACTCTGTCGGGTCGCGGCAGTCGGGAACAGCGAGTGCTCGCGCTTGGACTTCAGTGTCGGAGCAACTGGTCCACGTCGTAAAGTCGCGACTAAAAAGCATACCAAAGGAATGTAATCTCCATACGAATGACTGATTCTCTACCCGTGTACGACGCGCTTCAATACAAACTCTCAATTGCCCACGGTGAGTAACAGACGAGTTTACCGTCAATGAAATATCCATCGGATTCACGCACATGTGGCTTACGCGTAAGCGGTATTTAGGAGCATTCCGACGCGACTACATGACTGTGCTTTTAAACTGATTTCATTTTGTGTATTCTTAGCGCAGGACTTGATCACTTTTCTTTTTTTTTTTTTTTTGGAGCATCAAATGCACGTGGTCATGTAGGCCTGTCCGCGTGATTGCAGGTCGTCTCGCAATCAAACTTCTTCAATGTTTCGTTTTTTGTTTTTGTCAATACTGCGAACACCAAAAGGATTCTTAATTGTTCTAATTCGAGGTGTCGTAGATCTAACGCGAGGTATAATTATGTTACTTAGACTCTTCCGAAAGGGTTCGTAATTATATTTAAATCCTTAATGTAACATCGTATCGATAAATTTTTCGACCTTGCTTGATTTCTTATATTTCGAGAGTGGTTATAGCGGATTTATGTACCTGTACAATTATCACTTTCGTTTGTCTTCGGGTGCAAATTCGATTTCGTTCGATCGTTGAAGCATCGCTGTAATATTCATTTTGCGATGTTTAGATGGCCGTTGGGTAACTGTAAATTAGTATCGTCGCTGGAGTGCGTTACGACGACTTAGTTTAATAATTGGCGAACGATAAGGAGGTCGAAGGAGCGACGGCTCTCTGCGCATTGGTTTGAAACGAACGTATTGGCGACCACGTGGTGCATTTCCGGCGGGAGTATTCGGGGCCACGAGACGGCGGCATGCTTTTCTCGCCGAGTAAATAGATTACGATGTAGCTTCGCGCTTTAACGTTCTATTTAGAAATAGTTAGCAGCTTGGAAGAGAATTTCCTAGATTCGTATATAATAATTTTAATTTCGATGGTCCCAGCCGGCAGAACTTTTCCACGTACGCGAGAAAACTCGTTGATACTTTGAATAGGATGATAGAGATAGTAGACAAAGCCTCGCGAGTCTCGCTGCTCCGATTTATAACCATCACGGGTAACGGAGATATTACTAGGGTAATTAAATTGAAATTTATAACCACGCGACACTTATAATTGCTAATTAAACTGCGTGGCTTATGTCTATCTATTATCTGCCGCGCAATTTATGCTCGCGACGAATGACAAACTTGCAGTGATATTTTTCAAAAATCATCGTATTTCGTATGCAGGAATAGCTAAATATAATTGTATATGTAATTATACCGCATAATTACTCGCGTCGGAATGTCATCTCGCGTGCATCTGTATGCATCGGGAGCGTTCAACATTTTTTTTTCTCGATAGACACGCCCAATTGCTTGGAAAAATTCTTATTCACTTCCGGTTTCACAGAAACGTGTCTGCGATTCGATTGCGTTATCGCGTTCACGATGACATCGAGCACGATACAACGATTATCGGAAGCTATTAATTTTTCGAGCTCAGACTTACGGTATTTACAAGAATCAAAGAAAATTGTAATGCGTTGGTTGAAAAGTATCGTTCGCTATCTTCCAAAACTTATACTTTTCGTTTTACGATGTTTTTCCTATCTCGCGTAATTTTTTATGGCAAATGCGTGTACTTCTGCGAAATTGTATACAAGATATGTTCGTTCTCCTATACTATAAACGCGTGGGAAATTATTTTTAGATTGTCGCCAGACTCATAACGCCCGATCTATTCTCGCGGCTCCACGTGAACCAAACAATATCTCTTTTATTTGAAATTAAATCAACATTCGTAGACGTCTGCAGTTAGAATTCGCAATGATTTTCAACGCTTTCTACAACCTTGGTACGCGCTACCGCGAATCATGGATGTACACAGTGTCAGATGTTACAGTATCGAAACAAAGTGCGAACAGATTTAAATGCTTGACAACAATTTTTCTAATTAGTACCAACATAACGAGCGACTGATAGTTGCGCAATTTGATATCGATAAACGACTTCGCTGATGAACGATAATTGAAGGCGCTTTGCGTATCTAATCGCAAATATCAACACAGAAGTTGCGAATGTGCCGACCTTAACCTTCGTCAGTGATTCTATAGTTTCTAATAGCGACGTAGCGTTTTTGTCTCGAGAGATCTACCTGTACCTAGAAGAGATCATCTTCGGGAAACACGCTCGATGACTACTCTCTTTCGTTGCTGTTACTATGAATCAATTGTTTCATGCGTTACATGAGTCATTGATTAACTCTTTAATATATATTTTATATAGATTGAATTTCTCTTATTTTCTAACTCGCACGAATGACTCATGTCTTCCAAAGAGTCTTCTAAATATACTACAAGCAGATCCGGTAATTAGTCTCGATATTAATAGCAACGCTGTCTTTTGTAGGTTTGCCGATTTGCCCACGCGTGTAATTACGAGTGCCAAATACCACGCTCGTCGAGAATGTCGACCTCAACCTTCGTTTCGTTCCTGTTTCGCGTCAGTAGACGATACATAATCTCGTCCCCGAAGAATTGGATTAACTGCAAACATTTTCGAAAACGAATCACATTGTAAATACAAACGGAAACATAGAGCAATTCGTGGGGAAACATACGCTACTCGATCGAGCCCAGTTTTTCAATTACTTACGAACACCATCGAATACGTCCTTGATTTGTTCAGCGATTCAGTACGTATTACTCGCGATCGTATCTGTAAGACTCGAATACAAGTATAGACGAGGTTGAACGCAACTGGAATCGAAACCTTCGATTAACAAATTGGAACGGCGTTATTGGTAGAGTGGAAGAACATTTGACGTTACCGTTTCGCGAATTGCCAAACTATTTGCATATAATCTTTGTTTAGCTTCTCGTTGGCAAAACACTGTTCGTTAATGATTGTATATTGATCTGTTTTCAGTGACCACGGGACAAGCGCGTATCGGCTGCTTTTAAAGCGCCTGAAGAGGCCGAGGACCAGTCTTTTGTAATCGATGGGTTGAGAACGCGAAATTCGTGCTTTTCAGCTTTCTTCTCTTTTCGTAACCAAGGTGTATTAGCTTACCGATGAGCCATGCTGAAGGTAGTAGGAGCCTCCTGGCTGCAGACACGCATTTCTACTTACATCCTGATCGCCGTAGCTCTGCTGGGAATTGGAGCTATCATTCTCGGCGAGTTCGGACAGTAAGTGCGATGATTCATCACTAGATTCATCATTAGAACTACGTATTTATTATTTGTTCGTCAATAGCGTTCGATGGAACAGAAACGGGAAAACATTCGCGGTTTCGACCCGCAAGAGTATCGAGTGACAATGTTACTCGAGTATGCCCAAGTAGTTCCGCCATGGACTGAGAGTGTCCGTGCCGACCACACGCGAATGATAATGGCCAGTGTAAACAACGATAACTGGCACGTTCCTAAGAGGAACAAGTTGCGTTATCTCTTCGATGAAACTGTGCCTCTCGGTAGGTCTGTGCATACACACGGGGCACGCAAGATAAATTATGCGTCGGAAAAGACGCGGTCGTCGTGTACGAGCCCCATGGTGTGCCCCATGTGTTTGCGAACCGGCTCACGACACGTAAAACTCAAGCGTGAATTCGAGAAGCCAGACATCGCGTTACTCGATACCGGGATCGCGACCGGTCTCGATGAACTTGAGTCGCTAAAACGCTGATGCGACCAGTCATTGCAACTTGCTATAGTCGAAACAAAAACAATCGGCCTATCAAGACCACCAAGGCCCTGTCTCACCACCACTCGACAATCCCCCTCGTTCCCTAAACAGGACTGTGGCAAGACAAGCGCAGAGAAAACATCTCTGGGTGTCGTGTTACGTAGGGAGTCCTTGGAAGTAGACAAAAATTATATTAAACAGTGCGCGAAATACTGTTGATTTCGAGTACTCTCGTCGAGGAAAATTGTAACTTTATCGTTGTTTGTTAGCAGTGTTGAACAAGATGGTACTTATTCAGCAACCGTATCATGGAATCACAAAGGAGGATACCGCATTGAATTTTGGGGACAAGGCAATGATTTAGCTGCCGTGGCGATGCACGCTGCACGCGCTTATTATAAAACTGGAATTTTCGAAAACGGGTAGGTCGATATTATCGCGCTTGTTGCGTTAAGTTTATATACTGTCTATTTTTTTTCTGAGATTAATTTTCAATATTCGACGTAATCGATGTTGAAGGTGGTCTTACATCGAAATAGAAACATCGTCAAAATACCCAGACACAGTGCAAGCATACGCCGCCGGTCTTTTAGAAGGCAGCCTCACTTGGCAGTTGATCCATCATCATTGGTACAACACCATCAGAACCGAGTGCGAAGCGAAACCTGTCGAGTGCCGAAAGTTAAGGCGGTATCTTCGAGACAACACCGCTGTTATCCGCGAACGCGCCGAACTGTTGGAATCTACGGATCCTTTTTGGCATATGGTACTGCTTACATTTTAAGGAGCAAACTATTAAAAATAATTCGTGACTTTACGATACGCAATGGCTGACGGATCGACCAATGGTATTACAGTTGCCTTATAGAACATTATCGATGCATCAGTCAGTAGTATCGTAAGAACTAGCGACGAGATCTGTGATAAGAGTTAATGAAACGTCAATAGGAATATTTGGTACCTAATGATAGCGTTATCTTCAGGTACGATTGTTTTACACGCAACTGGACGGACTGGAAGCTGGCTGGAAATTCGCTGTACGCCGCAGCCGCGTATCGGTGTCGATGGAATCGGAAGATTTCCTTTGGCTGGCCCTAGCTTCCGACATACCCGGCTTTCAACAAGTGTTCAATATTTCAGACATTCCTATGAGTTCCATGATCTATTTCAAATCACTCCCGAGAGACGATTCTGAACCGCTAATCGCGATTGGTCATAACACCGCTGCACCGTAAGTAAACATTTATATTCTGTTCAATTCTATATTTTCAATCAGTATTATTCATTAATTCTATAATTTCGATCAATATTTTATATTACAATGAATTTTATATTTCTAAGCGGCAAGGATAGCTTCGATATGCGTGGGTATAACGATGTAAGAATATATTTTTAAGCAATAAGATTAATATCTCCGTATATCTCCGTATACTTGTTTTATAGATACACAAAAATGCTGAGACTCGTCAAGAAATACACGTTCGGTTATCACGTGTTACCATTGTTGAAAACTTCTGCATTGACTCCCAGCCGATCGATAGTAATGTCATCCTATCCAGGAGCGTTATCATCGGCGGATGAATTTTATTTTATACGCGGTGAAAATCGTGAATTGATCGTTACCGGAACATCGTTACTCGCAACGAATCGCAGCGAGTGGAGCTTCTTACATCCAAAAGATCATGTAAGATTAATTGTTACGTTAACGATACATAACGTGATTCTCTCGCTAGTTTCTCGCGATGTAATTAAACAACGATAATATTGCAGGTGATGCTATCCGTGAGATTAATGACGGCGAATCGTTTAGCAACAAACGGTCAATCTTGGTTTGACAATATATCTCATCAAAATGGCGGTGCTTCCGCGTTACAATGGATCGTCTTTGAGCCACGTTCCACGACCATGTTGTTGGTAGAACAATTGCCAAGCGTTACCGTCGCCATGAATTACACGGAGGAATTCAAGAAAGCCGGTTATATATCTTACTTAGGTACATCGAATTTTCAAAACGTCAACGATATCGTACGACCTGCCAAAAAAGATATAAGCTCCTGGAGAGCACGTTTGTCGCGTTTGCAAGATAATGTCACCACATTTGACCAATTTCGGAACATGATGCGTGGGTGCAGCCAGGAAGATTGCACTGCCGAGAATCAGAATTCAAAATTCGATCCACTGCAGGAATTGACCTATCGCGGAGATCTGGAAGACGAACCGTTACCGTACGGTATTATAGATACGAAAATTTTGGCCATCGACGCCGATGCTTTGGAAACATTCGAAACTACTTCGGGACCCGCTACGTCGCAATCGCGAACGCCTTTCAAATGGTCTGAAAGATTTCCCAATATCTCGCATATAGGACACCCAGATACCTTCAATTTCGAAAGTGTCACACCTAAGTGGGTTTGGGTTTGATTAATGTAATTAACAATTAACATATTATTAAACTGTACTTATAATCTTATAAGCCATATATCGAATTTCTATTAATATTTTAAAGAATCTATACGACGGCGAAGTCAATTCCTTGCACATTGGATTTCACATTTTTTTTAGAGAAAATGCTCGATATCGGTGTTTAAACGTAATCATTTTGTCTATTTTTAAAGCTGGCTCATATGTTAGCCACCTGTGGTAAAATTTGTATGAAATAAAATAAAAATATAACAATTTCTGCTTTATTATTTATTTTACAGTAACCACGACCTCCTTGACTTCAAGATATAAATACCTAAACCCCTGAGTTATGATAGCAACCTGCATGAGGCTATGACTCACGCAATTATTCTTTTGCTAGGAATACAAGAATGTGAATAATATTATTTCCTTTTGAAGTTATGAATGTCTTGCAGTGATATCTATGATATACGATTGCCATCTACGAGTAACCATTCCAAACTAGTTCCTTCCTTTTTATTGTCAACTAATGGCAACTGCGTATTAATTAATAATTCATGCATATTATTTCACATTGTCACCACGTTCGATTGCAAGTATTTGCAAATGTATCTGAAACGCATTAAGCGATGGGGAAAGTTTGGCGGATCATTAATTTCCCGAAACTGTCAAATGTCACGATGGACGCTGATGGACGCACATGTTTGCACATGTTTGTATCGATTGTAAATCTTGCTTTAGTTAATAATGATCGTGTAATGTTATTGTACTTTATGAATGAAGTTAACGATTAAAAATCACTGCGTAACATTAAAATGTAATTTTTAACAGTTACGAATGCTTTTATTTTTATTTTCTTATTGTTTTTTAGGCTTCGTTTACAGTAGGCTTTATATACAATAGTATATCGTGAAATGGTAGTTACTTTATTGTTATAATTATGGAGACTGATGATCAAGATGGTCAAGAACCCGATGATGAAAAACAAAGCGAAATACACGTTTGCAAGAGTATTGAAAATTTTTCGGACAAGGTTAGAATATGATAGATCGAGTGTTTATTTCGTCATGATCATCCACTGAACTATACATAATTAAATGGAACTTAATTTCAGATTTTGTCTGTGAGAAGCGAGGAAAGTATTCTTCGCGAAGCATCGAAAGAAATTGAAAATATTACGAAAATAAATTTACAAGGAAAAAAGGAATTTCATAGTTTGAGCACCGACAAAAATGACGAAGGTAACGTAAATTGTCAGAAGCAAGTAGAATTAGAGAAACAAGTTCTGACTGGAGAGATTACACCATTTCAAGCAATTGCAAAACGGTCTACTTCATCTAAAGTTGAAGGGTATGTATCGATGTTATTATAAACAAAATTCATTCGGTTAATTGAATATACTTTCTAGGATATCAGACAAGTCATCTCAGTTACTTATTCTCGAAAAATATCTTCAAAGGCAAGCTGAACTTGCCACACACAGGAAACAGTTAAAGAAAAGCTCAAAAGTATCTTCTGATAAAGATCAAGTACTCCCATCAAAACGATCAAAACTATCTGATACCAGCCCTAAGAAATGTAGTATAGAAAAATCAAAACTTAACAATAATAAAAAGAAATTAATACTAGAATTTGAAGAAGACAAGGACTCGAATAAACAAAATGATATTAATTTTGGGACAGAGAATGCGCAATCTATGCAAGTCAATGAACCTAGTAAAGGAAGCAGCAAAAACACATTAATTGCTTGTAGTACCTCAAAAAATATTACTGGACAGGTAGCAAACAAAGGTACAGATAATATAGAGTTTATAGATACAGTAAATGACTCTGGAAGCGACTATGCTCCAAGTGATGAACAAGTTAATTCAGGTAAATGTAAAAAGTAAAATTAAATACTGATTAAAGTGAATAAATACTTTAAATGTAACATTTTTAATGTTTTTTAGAGGATGAATTGGAGTCATCATCTAAAAAGAGAAAATGTGGTACAAAAATTGTTCGTACAAAACGAGGTACGCGTTAAGTATCGCTAAAACTATTTATCCGATTATTTTTTTTTTTAATTAGACATTTTTTTCCTAGTTTTGGATGATGGAGATGAACAAATATACAGACAGAGGGTGGAAGAAAGTAATCGTCCAAAGAATGAACCGTTGCATAAAATAGATAATCTATTTAAAACTCCACTATCCATATGGAAGAAGTTGTACAGGTACCGATAAAATGACGAACAAAATATTTTGTATCCTCCTTGAATCTAATTTAAACATTTTTGTTCAGGTATCAAAGAGTATCTGTGCAGTGGCTTTGGGAATTGCACTGTCGTGGTTTGGGAGGCTTATTGGGAGATGAAATGGGATTAGGGAAGACTGTTCAAGTTATCGCATTTCTTGCGGGTTTGGATTGTAGCGAATTACTTTCCGACGGTGGAAGGTGAGCATCATCTTCTGAACGTATTGTTCATTATTGATCATTTCCTACCATTTTAATGGAAAATATATTTTTATTAATAGGTTTCGTGGATTGGGACCAACTCTAATAGTTTGCCCAGCTACATTAATGGAACAATGGCTGAAGCATTTTCATGATTGGTGGCCGGTTCTAAGAGTAGTTATTTTACACCAATCTGGAACTTACAATGGTATGTTAAAACTATACAGGGTGTTTTTGAAAGATTTAAAATAATAGCGAGCAAACTCCGTATAATCTCCCATTATCATCTGCCTTACTCAGAGTATTTTCAAAAACTCTATGTGTTACAAGATATAATTCTATAGTTTCTGTATCCTTAATAACAAATGTTTTTATAGGCGATTTAAAATACTTACTGGACTCCTTAATGTACGGTGGTATATTGATCACTTCTTACTCTGGTGTTCTTAACCACAAAGATTTATTAATCGCCAGTCAATGGCATTACGTTATCCTTGACGAAGGTCACAAGATAAGGAATCCACAAGCAAAGGTAATTCATCCGAATCTTATTTGCAACCAAAAAAATTGTAAATTATGGTAACAAGAATTCTGGATTGTAATGTAAATTATTTACAGATCAGTAAGGCGGTAAAGCAATTCTCGACACCACATCGACTGTTATTAACTGGTAGTCCAATGCAGAACTCGTTGAAGGAATTGTGGTCTTTGTTCGATTTCATTTTGCCAGGCAAATTAGGCACTTTACCTGCATTTCTAGAACATTGCGCGATACCTATAACCCGCGGAGGATACACGAATGCTAGTCCTCTGCAGGAAGCTACCGCGCTTCAGGTTGCTACAATGCTTAGAGATGCTATTACACCGTACATGCTTAGAAGGACGAAAGCCGATGTTCAACATCATGTTAGTTTACCAGAAAAAAATGAACAGGTATACAGTGTATCGTATAATTCTTCTATAGTAAATTTGAATCCAGATATCGAAAAATAATTTATTTTAAATTATTTATATTCTAGGTATTATTCTGCAGTTTGACAGAGGAACAAAAACAAATATATAAAAATTATTTACGTTCCGATGATGTTTCCTTTGTTTTACATGAAAAATGTCCTATGGAAAATAGAAAATATAAAGCTCGTCTTTTAATAGCATTGTCGGCGCTCAGGAAAATATGTAACCATCCCGATTTATTTCTGTACACGACTTTCGTTGTAAGGTTGCAACTTAATATTATTAACGTATCGTAACATTCGTTATATTTAATTAAGCCTGTAATTAGGACTCCGATGAGGAAATCGACGCATCGGACGAAACGTTGGAAAAGTTTGGCTATTGGAAACGTTCCGGAAAAATGGTAGTAGTTCGTTCTCTTTTAAAAATTTGGAAGAAACAAGGACACAGAGTACTACTTTTTACGCAAGGAAGACAAGTATATAAACAAATAATTCAGTTTGTTTGTTGAAGCAGAAAATGACAAAATTTGATTTGCAGATGATGCACGTTTTAGAATCATTGGTACAAAACGAGGAATATAAGTATTTGAGACTGGATGGAACTACTCCTATGACACAGCGACAAGAAACAATCAGTTTGTTTAATAGTGTACGTATACTAATAAAACTTGTACGTATCGTAACATGTTTATTAATATTTCTTGTACAGGATCCTTCGTATTTTGTATTCTTGCTAACTACTCGCGTTGGTGGATTAGGAGTAAATTTAACTGGAGCAAATCGCGTAATCATTTATGATCCAGACTGGAATCCAGCGACCGACGCTCAAGCAAGAGAACGTGCATGGAGAATCGGCCAAAACAAAAGTGTCACTATCTATAGACTCATTACTGCTGGTACTATAGAAGAAAAGGTACAATTTTTAATTATTTGAAATATCGCGTAAAAAATTCCGATATATTTATTCAATACAATAATTTTATTTTAGATATATCACAGGCAAATATTTAAATTACTTCTTTCAAACAAAGTTTTAGAAGATCCACGTCAACGTAGATTATTCAAAACTTCTGATCTAGCTGAACTTTTCAATTTTAACGAGTCTATCGATGGAACTTCTAGTGAATCTGATCAGTTATTTCGAGAATCTAGGTTATCCCCGACGACTTCCAAATTTTCGTCGACTAAAATCGAAAAAATGCGAAAATTAGCTGCTACGCTTAGTAAAAATATAAGTCGGAATGTTTTAAATTCCACGCCAACAATGCCAAGTACCACCGTTCTAGAGAACACTTCTGTTTTGAGTCTTAATAATAACGGTAATACTGAAAATAATTTGAAATATAATAATCAAGTATCCGTAGACAAGTTGACAGAAGAGAAAACTGAAATTGAAAGTCACCTTCGCAACAAAAGCAAAGATACTGGAGAAGGTAACACAGAAGAAAATAAAAGTTCTGAAAAAATCCAGAATAATTTGCCAAATATACATGATATAGTTGACAATAACAATGTGATAGAAAATGAGAATCTCACACGTAAACATAAGCGAAAGAAAAAGCATTCTCGATCGAAAGAAAGTGCAGTGTCAGCCATGTTTGAAGGAGAACGTGTTTCGCATTTAATTGGACGACGTCTCGGAGGATCTACAAATCGAACTACTTCAACCAAAGATGACCAATATGTTTTGGAGAAGCTGTTCGCTAAAGCAAGTAATTATCTTTCTGGTTATATTAACTGTATGTTAGTTTTAATCGATAGAAAGTATATGAAATACTTTTATTATTATTATAAAATAACTTGTTTATAGCTGTGACGTCAGCTTTTCAACACGAATCAGTATTATCGAATTCAGCGTATAGTTCAGGTGACAAAACTCCGATGCAACGATTAGCTCGAGAAACAGCACAAGAAAAAATGGATAACATTCGCAAGTCTCGTAAATGGTGTTGGAGACCCACATGGGATTCTACATCCTCTAAAGATAATTAATCGTTTTCTTACAACTCATATACTTTGGATAATTAAAATCAAAGTTTGATGGAAATTGCTTGTCAAAAATTGAAATTTTTTATTTTATGATCTTTAATTTTTCAGTTTGCATGAAAATTTGTATGCACCAAAGTTTATTTGCGAGATAGGAACATTTTTTGCCTGACAAACATTCTGTATAATAATTGAAATTAATATACGTAACTTAAAAACTAAGATATTTTGTTCAATGCATAATGATAATTTTTATAAAAATATTTTTGTTTGTAGATTCATTATTTGTATGTAAACTATATGTAAGTTCTTAATTCCCTCAGTTTTATGTTTTTTCGTTATACAAAGAACATTGTAATTATATGATAATTTATTATTTAAATATTAAACTATTTTTGTAAAATTAACAGCCACCAATTATTTCGATAATTTAAGAAAGGTAACTTAATTTTGGTGATTTATTTTAAATATATAATACCACTTTAACTGTAGTCATTCCAGATGAGACTGTAAATATCTTAAATGCGAAAAAAGTAACACGAAAGTATTCCGAGACACAACATAAATACTTCTTTCTTTTAGCAGTTAATTTAGTGTCTAGAAAATAAAGTACTGGAGACAATTTTCACGTGGTAATTGTTATAATCCTTTGGTACGAAACTTATTGTATTTTTCACTCGATTAAATTTTTGAAAAACATCTTTCATCGAAAATGTTTTGCATAAGCACAAAAACAATAAAAATTTATATGTAAATATCTATTTATATATTTACCTTATAGAATATGTGTCTATATTAACGAAGAACTTCTCGTACAAAAAAATTTAAGAAAACTTGTGTGTACAAACTTATAAATGCCTATATCGCTATTTAATATTTACATTGTCAGTTGCGTTTTTTTTACAATTTACACCTTAGAAACTCGTCAAGTGTAGGTCCGTTTCTGCCTAAAGGATCTTCAGGGAACATAACATAGTTTCCAACGAAAGTTGGAGGCAGTAAGCGATTTACAATCGTATCTCGCCATGCTGGGTTTTCTCGATATAAATCTCTGTACTGATCCAAGGAAATTACAATACCGTTGGTCAAAGTCGCGTATTCCAATATATATCTGAAAGCATCACGAAAGATTACATTTACATGATGGATGAGTGAACTACTTATATACAAACAATTTCGAATATGCAACATACCGATCATCATAAGAAGTTATCCATTTACCCTCTATATAACGGCTCGGTGTAAAAATTACTATGTCGTCCTTATACCATTTTTCAAGTAATGGGTTTGCCAATGATCTTCTATAGTGAGGTATAAATACTTTCACGTTATGTCCTCTATTTTTGAAATAATCAATGACTAACTTCAATCCCTCTTCCGAGAATACTTTATTATTTGTGTGTCTAGAAAATTATAAAATTGTCTTAAGATATAACATAAATAATTATCAAAAGTAGAAAATCAAAATCATCATACGCCATAGCTACGTTATTCCCATCAACGATTATATCCCTTAATTTATAGGGCTTCTTAGACGTAGTTTGCGATGTATTAGATGGTTGAGATGTAGTTTGCAAGTTATTGAATGATTGAGAGGTAGTTTGCAATATATTGGATGGTTGAGGCGTAGTTTGTAAGTTATTGAATGACTGAGGTGTAGGTTTCCATCTGGTAGATAGTTGAGACATAGTTTGCAAGCTATTGAATAGTTGAGATGTAGGGTCCCATCCAATGGCTGGTTGAAACGCAGTTTGCAAGTTATTGAATGGTTGAGATATAGGGTCCCACATAACGGGTAGATCAGTCATAGTTTGCAAGTTACTGAACAGTTGAGGTGTAGATTCCAATACAACGGTTGGTTCAATCGTAGTTTGTAAGTTATTGAACAGTTGAGGTGGAGGCTCCCATATAACAGTTGGTTCAGATGTAGTTTGTAAATTATTGAATGGTTGAGATATACTTTGTGATTTATTGAGTGGTTGAGATGTCGATGGTACTGCTGTAGAGGTACTAGGTACTTCTGATCTTGTACTATATAGTTTCGATCTTTTTTGTTCTAATTTTGATAACATATTCGAAATTGACTTTCGTTTTTTTATTAGTATTGTTCCACTTATATCATGAGCTTTAGGTAATTTCAATCCTGGTTTATTGAAAAGTAAATCGGAATCCTTTATTCGATCTTCTTTATTTTCAATATTCTGTTTAGGTTCCTCTGATGTTGTTTCATCGGAATCTATATCAATAAGATTCTGTGGATTTGGACTATAGTCTACCATGAAAAGTCTGTAACCATTTTCATTGTCTTGGTCTTTTTCATGACTTTTGTTTCCTTCCGATTCATTTTCAGATGAAGATGGTTCTGTAGATGACCATACTACAACAATATCATCTGAACCTTGATTTATAGATTTTGAGGGTGCTGAAGAAACATAAATTACAATAAAACTCAAATTCACTGTAGTTACATACCAGTTTCAACATAGATTTATTCTTTTTACCTATGTTTTCATTGTCTACCCTAACTGCTACAGTGTCATAATCCTCTGCATCTGATATCAAAAGACAAGATGAATTATTATCCGATATACTACAGCTCTTTTTTCTTCTCTTCTTTGAACTACTTTCTACTCCATATCCTCTTGATTTTGTTTGTTTGTCTTCACTTGATTCTCCCAAACGTTTCTTTTTCTTCTTCACATTATTGTTACGATTATTCTGTTCATTAGGACTGTTTGATTCGCTTTCGTTATCGCTTAAAATAATTATGCTATCTTGAAATCCTCCATCCATTAAGGAGTTTCTGTTGAGTTTCTGTTTCTTGACAGCTTGCCTGGTATTGTTCATTAATTTCCTTTGTTTTTGTAATTGCTCCCATCTTTTGGTACTGTAATCATAGAAAAAAAACTTTTGTAATACATGTTTTTTGTAAGATTTAAGTATAATTCTCTATTACCTTAATTGAATATGCTTTAATGGACTCTCGTAAAAGGTCTTTCTTTTTCTACCCTTTGGTGATTTTTTACTTCCTAAGAGGTTTTTTCTTAGATTTGATTTTGGCGTTGTGTCGCAAATTATTACAGAATCATTTAACATACTCATGTTTGCACATTTATTATTATAATTAATTTACCACGAAAAAATGTATACCGATCTCTACATTAAACGAGAAAAAAACGTACGAATACGCTTCATCCGCTAGAAAACTTTCTTAGAGAATTGAACAATTTCACTTAAAAAATTGTTAACAAACTTTACACGATATTGTAGATGTAATGAACATTCGTAAATATTTCAAAAATATCGAAGATTACGACAAGAAGTGTCGGTGACTTTATTCTGCGAATAAACATTCGCGCATGTTACATGTTAAACTCGTTATTTGTAGCGAAATTTTGTATAAACAAAAAAGTGATCACCCAATTTTGACATTAATTGCGATTAGTGTTGTAGAATGTAGTTATAAAGACTTAAAAAAACATCAACTTTTAGATAACATCAGATAACATAACCCTAGACACCGTTCAGCATGTTATTGAAGTTCGATAAGCGGAAGTTTTTGTACAAAGCATGTCGCTCTATTTACCTAATCAGTTAACATTAAACGGTGTGTTATTTTATTCGTAGGTAATAATACAATATAAATAAAATTAGTTTTCATTATATTTTTATCACAATTTCTCTTATTCCGTATAAACGTGTTCACATATTTGATACCTACTACTGCTACTTTATTCTTTTTTGTACGCAGTGCTACGCCACAGCTGATTCGGTAACGGTGAAGTACAATAAAGAAATCATTTTAGATAGTGTATATTATTAAAGAGAAAAGGAAGTACATTTTTGTAATAAGGATACTATGCAATTTTGTAATGAAAAAGTTATATATTCAGATATACAATGTATCTTCACCGTTATACCAACTTCATATACCTCGGTAATTTCGAAACATACAATAATACAGTTAGTGTTAATTGTTTGTCATTATTGAACTACTTTGTAAATTGTGCGTTTAATAGATACTATTCATCAACTACAAAAGCTAAAGAAATTTACATTTTCTATCCTTTTGTCGATATAGAATAGTGGTACATCCAGACAGTGATGCTATAGGTTTTACCTGGCGGGAATCATTTTTACTACAAACTTGGGCGTTTCCTTACGAGATGGCGCCACCAATTATCATGAACATCGCCATCTAGCGTCAAAAAGACCAAACTTTTTCACGAAAATTAGTTCGATCTGTTCACCGTTAGATGGCGACACCACAGTCGTCAATGGCGCCATCTAGCAGCAACAGTGAAAACTATTTTCACTACAAACTTGAGCATTTTCCCACCGATGGCGCCACTGGTTTTAATACCAGCATTAGCATAGTTTAGCGATTGCCTGCTATCCAGAGGGCGATCGCTATGTTCGATAACGTAATATTTGTAAACTGAACCGCTCACAGAGCGATTTAGTGAGCGATGGCCTTTTTGGATGCACCCAATGCTTCGAGGAAGCGCGTCAAGACGACCAATCGCAAACGCGACGAATGTGTAATGAGAAAAAGAAGTCACCGATTGGTTGAAATTCCTTTGATGTCGAAAGGAGTGGGGATGGTGGAAGGGCGAGTGAATGTATGCTGGTCTGGCCCGAACGCGGCTGCATCCCCGTGCCAGACCAGCGAGCAAGTAGTAACGCTAACGTTAGAATTTTGTCTTTTGTTTATTCTTTATGTTTATTTCGCCGGGGAAGAAGGGAAGCCCGAGAAACGTGGTATCGTTGGAACGGGTTGCTGGTGGTCGGGGATCGGTCAGAAAATACACATCAGCGTCAGTTGCACGCAAGGATTCGCAACGGTGGATCAAGTAGTCGAAAGCGTATTCAGGCAGCCTTCAACGTAAACAAAAATGGAGCTAGGGGCGGGAGAGCCGCAGATTTGTCGACTCTGCGGCCAGTGCGAGAGTATATACATTGACGTGTTCGGCGAAGAGGGTACCAAGAGATTCCTAGGCCTTAAGATTTATTCGAAAATCAACATTCTGGTGAGTAGAATGCAAGAGGTGTGCCATGGGGTCTGGGGGCCCCAGTTGCATCGTCGAGGAGGGGGTTAAAAAAATGGCCGGGGCAGGGGAGAGAAGAGCATGGGAAGAAAAGATATTTTCCGTTTTCATTTTCGATATTTCCTCGATGACCGCATACCGTTTCCCGTTGTTTCATTCATAGTAGTATACATGCTTCTCTGTCGTACTTTTATTTCAAATAAAAACTACTTACCTGCATCTCAAAAGTAATTTATAGTGTGCCCAAATTTTTGGAAATTAACTCTCTAAGTATCAATGAAAAATATAATATCAGTTAAATGATTTAAGTTTGTCCCTGTGATATAAATATAAGTTTTCATTACAAGTTTCTATAAGTTTGTCATAAAATACAGTTTTATTTAACAACAAATTTTTCTTTGATGACTTATGAATGAACAGTTGAAAATCCTTTATTCATTACCAGAAGTTTTTATATACAGATTTCTTACACTAATAAATTCATTTGTTGTTGCATGAAAAATTGTAAAATATTAAATGGCATGTGTAATTAGAAATGATGAATCCTATACAGAACCAATATATTGTATTAGAATAATAATTCATTTAATACAGATAAGACATTCAGTTTATATTTTAAGGTCTTACATTTTTTTATTGTATAATTATGTGCTATTTTAAATTTGTTTAATTTATCATAATATTTTGTAATCATTCTTTATAAGCAACTTAAGTTACTTAATGTATTTTTTTGTTAATATTTTATTAAGCATAACACCATTTTTTTCACACTGCAATTTTTTAAGAATTTTTATATAATCTCAAGTAACAATATCACATATAAGACAATATTAAATTAATTGTGAAATTTACGTATTTCATATATATCGTAACTATATGAGAATTATCTCACATTTGTTTTTATTCAGTACATCTGTAGTTAATTAATAAACGTTGTCGTAGTTACTCAATTATAGAAAGAAATATCGAGGTTTATACCGTGTAATATTAGAGTGGGTACCAGATCGGAATCATAATAAATTTTATCAAAGGTGTATCTATAGAGCGGTAGGGTTTAACTAGATTGCACATCCCTTGTTATATTTGATTTTTAACGAGAAACTAGACATTTTTCTCTAATCAGTTAAGAGTTGTACAAAATCAGATTTTCAATTAAGAATTTAAAATCGCATACATTTAGTCTTTAGGTATTTTGTTTGAATCGCAGATAGATGAGAGGGATCCTCTGCCCAAGGCGATCTGTGTTCAGTGTCTGGGCAAGCTCGAATTCGTTTGCGACTTCCAAGAGGAGTGTCTTCGCACCCAACAAGTGTTACGCGATCGATACAATCTGCCAACCTTAACAGAGACTGTAAGTCTACGTTGAATTTAATGTATAGCTCTACCGCTCGTTTATGGTGTCACCGGAGCATGCAGCTCATTTTTTTAACTTTACTATCTTTGAAATACAAATTAAATTAAGAATGTATCATCTGGTATTATAGTGGATAGAAATTTAATCTATCAACTATGGACAATTCGTGCGCGAGTAGTTTAAACGCTACATTTGTAGAAGGTCCTCAGTGACTGGTCTTAGCAATGATACAACAAACAATATCCTTCTTTTTATCGATTTGAAATAGTATTCTTTGTAGTATGCATTCATAGTATAAAATATACATCACAAATACCAGATCGAATTCATTCTTTTAGTATTTCAAACAAAATTAGTAAATTTCTGGTACCCGCTTCTATTTTTATTTCAATTTATTCCTAGGCTGATGTAAAGATTGAAGAAACAACGCCGAGCACGTCGACGAACAATAACAACAATGACATAGACAAAAATCTTAATTCTCCAAGCGAAGAGAACACGAAAGAAGTAGAACCACGCGTTTCGAAAACATCCACGAAGAGTCAGAGAAGCTTACGAAGTCAACAACAAGTAAAGATTAACGAAGAACCCGCAAAAGATCCAACAAACGCGCAAAGTACGAACGAAGATAATATAGAAAACGTTCAGAGTGCCGAAACAACACCCACGCGGTGGCTTAGAAGTAGACAAAATACGGAAACAACTTCTACGAATGAAACAGCATCATCCGATACGCCGATTGCGAATAGGCTTAGAAGTCACAATAGTTCTACTACGGAGTTATCTGTTAGTCCACGTAGCAATTCTAGCGAGAACGTTGAAAAATCGACTGGGAAACAAGATCCGCATACCATTCAAATTCCAACATCGGCGTTAAATAATCTTTTGACTATCGTATCGAAATCACCAAACATCGAAGTATGCGTTAAGGAATCCAGAAATCAAAACAGCGATGTCGAAGACATTAGTTTCACCGTCGAATTATGTAAAAAGGAAACCGACGACATCGCCACTATTCGAGCGCGTGTATTTCCAGATCAAGGCTCGTGCTTGGTAGACAAAGCTATCGTTGGATTTTTACAAAATCAGAGTTGCGTAGAAGCGAACAGTATAATAAATACTATTATAAATAGCAGCCTTAAGAACGGTAATTCGACCAAGTCGAGAGATTCCGCGGAATTCGAGGAGAAATGGCAGGCTTCTCAAAATCCGGGAGAGCTGTTCAGGATCGACGGAGAAGAGATTCGCGTAGATGACAACGTGGAGCACGTTGTAGCGGATAATAAGAACGGTTACTCTTGCAAATTGTGCCGGAAATGGTACGAGCGCAAGGACAAATGTATAGTTCACGTAAAAACGCATCTCGGTATCAAGCAGTACACTTGTAACTTGTGTAACGCAAAATTCGTCTGTAAATCCGACGTGATAAAACATATTCGATGTTCGCATACTAATCCCAAACCGGTACAGTGTCCAAAATGTCCGAAGAGGTTCAAATCGAAATTCTATTTGATGGAACACGACAACGTGCACAAAGGTGTAAGGCCTTACTGTTGCACCGACTGTGGCCAGAGTTACCATCACAAAGTGTCGTTACAGATTCACATGAAGTCACATTTGCCACCGCAGAATTTAGCTTGCGAGTACTGCGGCAAGATCTATCCACACCGCACGAGACTGCTGTGTCACATTTCGAGTGTACACTTGAAGAATCGTCGGAATTTCAGGTGTCGGTTTTGTTACAATCTTTATTCGAGTCTCGCGGTCCTGAACGAGCACATCAAGACACGTCACGCGATCACGTACACCTGCGAGATGTGCACCAAGACATTCAAAGTTGAGTCCAAGTACAAGGCTCACGTGTTGCAACACTCCAATCCCAAGCCCTTCGTATGCAACATTTGTAACAATAGATACGCGTCGAAAACATTCCTGAACGAGCATCTACTGAAACACGAGGGATTGAGGAAACACATCTGCCAGAAGTGTGGTGCAAGATTCGCCCAAGCTAGTCATCTAGCTGCGCACCGGCACGTGCACGGCGAAAAGAAACACGCGTGTCCCGAGTGCGGACGAAAATTCAATAGGCGCGATAACATGAAAGTACATAGAAAAAGACATTTCAAGGAAAAAAAGACTGGTATCAATAAACAGAAGAATGTTTCTGTCACCGAAGTGACCTCCGCTACGTCT